CCCCGCCCGCGAGACCCAACGGCCCCCATTCCGGGCGGGGCCCTCGACGCCATCTTGGTGGAGGGAGGGTCACGGCCCGCAAGGGGCGAGCAGGACTGCGTGACCGCCTGGGAGTAGCAGCGGGGTCCTCTGCTAACGTCAGCTCTGTCGTTTTGGAAATTAGCCTGCCACCCACCTGAAGCTAGCGCTTCTCAAATTCTAGTAGAATATCAGAAAGACCATTTTTTTCCCTCTCTCTAAGTACTGAAACACACAGCTTCCTTTTGGAAGGTCAAAAGAGACAGCCTTTGGAAACCAGCCCTACCGCAATGTGTACCATACCAGACACGAGCATGTAACAGAATAAGCTTGTCTTGCTCCAGAAACAAACCACTGAAATAGTACTCCGGTCAAGCTAATGCAGTGTTATTTTTGAGTCTAGTGGGAAAATCATTAGAACGACAGGCTGTGATGGTTTTGCTCCACCACGATTTAGGATGACTGGCTGTTACAGGCTGGCACTTTTTCCACGAACAAAGAGATTCGGGTTCGTTTTTCCTTCCCCTTTGTTCTAAGTTGTGTGGTTCCTTTATTCCCTGACATCTCTCTCTCTCTCTTCAGTCTGTTCCCAGCAAGGCCAGACATCCTCCTCGTCTAAGCCAACAAACGCATTTGCGCTCTGGAACCAGCCCCAGCCTTCTGCTGCCCCCGGCACGGCGCTGCCTTTTCCTCCCACTTTCCCCACAGCTCAGGCTCCTGCTCTCACTGGTGACCGCCCAGGGCGGCACCTCTCTCGGCTGCTTTCTTTGTTCCCATCCTCCTTCCTTGACGCTGTTGTAGCCTAATGTGCAGTTCCTGTAAACGCGCCTCAGCTCCTGTGATGTGGGTATCATAAAATCATTTTGAAGTGAGCAATGCAGGTGCCAGAACGTGCTGCTCACCAGGGACACCAGCGTTGTTATAGAACAGAGAAAGGCCAAAACGCCTGTTCTCAGCAGGCCTCAAAAAAAAAAAAAAAAAAAAAAACTTTTCAACTAACTTCTTTTTTCCAAGAGGTTACAACAATAGGAATTTTGATCTAAACTGCTCAGAGTATTTCAGCAAGAGGGTCATGAACCAAACAAAAAGACTTTTGCAGCACACACAAAGCACTGACACAACTTGTTTATTTCCAGGCAACCAAGATCAGCTCCCTGTTCTAAAAAAAAACTTTAATAGGATTTAGGAAGCATCTTTCATCAGCAGCATCATTCACTGGATTATGCCAAATTAATAATCTCAGGAGTCCTCTTTATTTCCATCTTTGTCCAGTCACTGATAACTCTGGCAAGCCCCATCACTTCTCGGTGCCTCAGCCCCTCCTCAGCCTGCTTCCCACCACCGTTACCTCTACTGTAAATAGTGCCCAGAGCCACCGATGAAAGATGCTACCACAAAAGCCAGGCATTATTAGAGTGAAGAATCCCAAAGCTCTGTACGAGCACACCACAAAAACAAGATACAAATCAACTAATGAAGTGGCAGAGCTGTAACCATAAAATATATATTCCTTTATGCAGCTGACAAAGAGCAAGTGTGAAACAAAGCAAGCTTTTCCCAGACAAACCAGACTGGCTTTATGTTGCCAGTTGTCCAGGGCTAAGAACATCCATTTTGTGTTTGTAAAGATGGCAAAACAGGATTACACCCATGACTAGTGCAATCATGATATAAATACATAATTATTTCCAAAGGCTGTGTTGAAACACAGACAAAAGCTCTTTCCAAATGCCACATGCTTTTTTTTTTTTTGACATTTCTATTTAATTACTAGAAATTTATTCCATTCTTCCTCAATAAATAAACTAACAGTAAGAAACATATGTATTTCACACACTTTCTCATTAAATCCTTTCCTGCCCCGTCTCAGGGTTCCGAGTCACAAAGCAGTATAAATATAGAGAAGCATTTTCCTGTATTCTCTGGACAGAAGTATAAGCACAAAACCTTACATAATTCAGCGAATGTTGAGCTGAAGCAAAGTTCTTTCACCTGTTCTTGTTGAAGGACTCCAGTCACTCAGAGTCATTACCAGAGCCCAAAAAGCCACACATGGATAAATGAAAACATTCATCTAGATGATCCAGGTAATGTCAGTTTAGGCACCAAACTGCTTTACAATCATTTCTGACTGCTTTGACTGATGCTGAAGAAAAGGTTGTCAGCAATCCGGAAAGATCACCTGGATTTGACATTCCTGCCACGGTCCATCGTTTATGCAGTTGGTGGTGAAGAAATAGTTTATTACATGAGTGAATGGACTGAAGCAAGGGCAACCACAGATCCTACTGCTCTGATAAAAACAACAGTAGTCTCCTTCTTTGTGCTCTTCCCGCTTAGAACCGTATTAAAAACAAGGAATGGAAAAAAACCCCCATATGATTTTAGCTAAAGAAAAAACAGACCAAGTCAGTAGGATGAAACCTCAGTCGCACATGCAGACAGTTTCTACACATGTGCTCCCAACTAGTCATACAACTTCCAAACTCCCATTTTTATCTGAAAACAAGAACACAACTGCTCCTGGGATATCAGACAGGAATATGAGAAGCCTCCTGTATGAAGCCGGTCCCTACAAGGGGCATTCTACCCTCAGAGTCTTCCCCTGTCCTGAGGCGGATGGGAACAGGCAGCCACTGACTTTGTCCCAAACAGGAGAAGAAGAGGTGCCTCACTTAGAGGAGAATATGGCAAATGGAACATATAAGGTTAAAAAAAAAATAAAATAAAAAAAATTAAAAAAATCAGAGCAAAGTAGAAGAATAAATGAAATGAGCCAAGTGATTCCTGAAGGTTATTAATGTAAGCACACAGCAGCTAGTGAGCTTTTAGTGACTTTGGATGACAGGGAGAGAAGTCCTTTTCTCAGAATACAATTCCTATTCTCCTCAAGCTATTTCCCGAAAGGAAGGGTCAATAATCCTATTAAACACAAGGTCAGAGGTACCATAAACTAAAATTATTCCCCCTCCCACTCCCCCCCCCCACAAAAAAATCACCATTTTCACATTTCACTTATTAATGAATAAAGATAAAATATAAATAACCTTAAAATAAACCAGAAAGGATATCCCTAAATGTAACTTTAAAAAAAAATTAAAACAATACTCCACAACTGCAATTGGATCCTAAACCATGAAGAGAACCATTGTACAAACTTATTTGTTTGTATCCAGAATTGCATAAAACAGAACTGAAAGTTTTCAAGTGTAACTAAGTTTGGGTAACTAATAATTGTGGTTGTCACCTTAAAAGGGACTTAATCTGAAAGCACTGAACATTCAGCTAAGGCTGATGCTTATATCTCAAATGATGCCTATAGTTGGCTATCCAGTAGTCTGGCAGCCCAAGACTAGCAGAAATTTTCTTAATTAAAACAAAAAAGTCACTACATAGTCTGGATATATTCATCTAGAAATTGATACATGGTCAGAGGGCTCACTTTTAAGCCACTAAGACTCACTACAAGCACTTTAACAAAAACAACTAAGGTTTTTTTCAGTCTTACATTACAAGTATAATTTAATAGATGTGTTCAGACTTACACTTTTTTTTTTTAATTACAAAACCCTGCAGGATAAAGACTCCTATATAAATATGCAACTACCAGTATTAATTTGGTGCTTAAGTACAGTATTTCAGACAAAACTTATATGTTTTGATAATACAATTCTCTCTGAAGAAGCAATTCATTTGGGGAAGACTTATTGTCAACACAATCCCCCAAGTCTTCAAGTGGATTTGTCTACATGATCCCAAGAGGTTTTTCTCAGTCTGTTTTAAATAAGAATAAATTTGCTTCTTGCAGATGGTAAGGGTTATTGGAATATATTTGACTGACAGCATAATGAATGAAGTTAAAGGTGTTTTTCAGTCAAGAGAGAAAGAATGCTTTTTTAGGCTAGAAAATGAAAGTCCTTAAAAAAAGAAAAAAATGCAGTTTAAGAACACTAACCTCACAGAATTTGCATCTACTGATTTAAAAACAAAAAAAAGTGTAAAGCTTGTAAAATTATTTGTCAAGATCTTAAAACTGTTTACCTATTTTTATGTAAGATAAGCTAAGTCCAAGATGCATCCAGTGAATATCTAAGACTTGATATAAAGTAAACCTTTCTATAAGAGTATATGAAAAGAAAAAAAGGGGGGGGTGGGAATTATTAAGAGTACTTCAGGACTTAAATTTCTACTGTCCGTCAGCAAAGGCTGAAAGAGACATATAGGAACTGTTGAAACAAGAATATATGAGACTTCAGTGAAAGGAGAATATATATATAGATATATAAATTATTTACAACATAGCTATTGCTCTGCTTTTGTGAGGCTCAGAACACCTATTATCTTCCCCAAAGGCTATGAAGAGTTTCCTCCCTTTCCATTCATATGCTAGATTTACACAGATCACAAGGAAACTGGTATTTTGATACACTGAACATTTATTGTCTTGCACAAGACAAAATGAAATTTCCCCTGTCAGTTAAAAGCCATCAAGATGACTGTAGAGGGGACAGGGTTGCAAAATTCCAGTGTACAGTATACGCAACAAATTACCTCCCTGACTACCCTGGAAGAAAAAATGATTGATCAATCTCACTGCAACTAAAAAAGAGACCAGGATTATAAAATATTTACAGAAAAAAACAGTACAGAAAATAAAAACTTGAGAACCATGTATGTGTATGAAATCCTGCTAGCATTCTTCTGGCTCCTTAAAAGTTTGCTCCACTACCCTCACCAGAGCATTCATGAAATGAAAGGCTTCCCAAGCAGAGCACTATCATATCCCCTCAGAGTACCATAACCTCCCACCAAGGAAGGGGGAGGACTCGAGGAAAGCTGCATCACCTTCTTGACTGTAATTTCCTTCCACTAAGTGGACATGCTAGCTCTGAAAGGAGGTCCCCTGTCACGCCCCATCTGCAGCAGTCTCTGCTCAGAGCATACTGGCAAGTTAACCTGTGGGTAGGGAACTATTTCGTCATGTGAGCCCTCTCACTGCTTGCAGGAGGGCCTTTTCTTCTCTTCCCTCTGTGGGAGTCTGATCTGTGTTCAGAGGGCAGGAAAGCTGACTAGGACTATGACAGGTCACAGGAGACCTTCCATTTCCTTCATGAAGGCTTCATACACATCATCCTTTGTCTGTACAGAGATAGGGGCAGACGATCCAGCCTTAGGGGCTGCTTTGGTTAATGGGAGAGCAGGCTCATCATCTGTTTTTCTCTGGGAGGCAGCTGAAGCCCCTTTATTCTCCCGGCGCACTCGCAAGGCAGTGGGCACAAAGCGAGTGATCTCTGCCTTGGGGTTAGTGATCTGCGGCTTGGCACTGATAGTGGCTGTAGCTTTCTTCTCGATGGTGGCCGCACTGGTGTCATCCGCCTTGGGACGCTGAATCAAGCTCGGTGGGGCACTCAGCACCCCAGGATTTGGAATGGGAGCTGGTGGGAAAAGCCCAGGTGGGGCAGGTCCTAACGGAGGCACCAAAGGTGGCCGTAACATGCCCGGGCGAGGAGGAGGGATACCTGCAAGACGAAAAGAAAGTATGAGCTGACTCCACACTGGGAGCCTGAAAATCTTTGACAGAAAAGTGCACAGGCTCAAAAAGTAAAGAAACATCAACAAGATACAATAGCGCTGGCTTCAGAAACTGTTTTCAATCCTGCACCAACCATGGTTCCCAATAGGAAGAAAGAAGGAAGAAAAGTTGAGGAAAGAAAAGTGCTGCTCAGACTTTGAAATCTACTGGACCTCTTTCAAATTCCCTAGTTTCTAAGCTGAAAACAAAGTTTCTTGGTCAGCCACTTGGCTGAAACTTCAGAACCATCAGAAATATATGGTCTGGCAGCATAAACTCCCCATCATTATTGCACTCTGGATTATTCAGAAGTTACTCAGAAACTTCTGGTATTATTCAGAAATACAGTCCAGGAAAATTGTAAACTCTAAATTGCACCCCCTTCCTTTTTTTTTTTTTTTTTTTTTTTTAAGTGACAGATTTCTTGCCAGCAAACTACACACAGCAATATTGAATTACTTATTATTATTATATAGGAAGAGAGATAGCTACAAGGGACCAACCAGGAACAACTTCATAAGGGCATGCTTTTAGCCCCACAGAGAGGAATACAGACAAAATTGGTAACAGGGCACTATGTAAAGCCAAAAGGTATATGCATTCTCTCCTCCCACCCCTACCTCCCCAAATCAGATTTACTGGCTTGATCATCACAGTAAAGGTTCTAAGTGTACTAGGATAATAAAGCAGGGAGAGACCCTGCTCCAAAGCAAACAAAGATTTACCTGGTGGGGCAGGAGGTGGCAAACGAGGAGGGGGCCCACGTGGAGGAGGGCCTGGGGGCAGACCTGGTGGAGGACCAGGGGGAGGGCCAGGTGGTCGCCCAGGCGGAGGGCCTGGCGGTAGAAGTCGAGGTAAAGGCCCACGCAGCCCTGGTAACCCAGGAGGTCTCAGGAACGGAGGAGCTCCTGAAAGCATACATACAAAAAAGAAAATTCTTTAATGGATAAAAGAACCGTCACATCAGGTAACACTGAAGACCCTCGAGACAAACTCAAAAGCTGTGTCTATTACTAGCCAGCTGCCAGATTAAATACATCTTCTGAAAGCCTCAAGAAGAGACAACAGTCCTAAGTCAGAGAAAAGTTTCTTGGTAGTAATCAGGTGTAAGTATCTTTTTCCACTATCTGTGGAAAAACTCTGCACCCCCCTTAAGAGGCCTGGTGCTAGGCCCTTTTAAACTCCTGGTACTTCCCAACTGCACTAAAAACCAAGGTGACCGATTTGATGAGCAGGTCATGTGAGTGAATCACTTTGTTCACACTAGTTGTTGTATGAATGCCAGAAGTTTTTCAGTAAATGAACATTTCAGTGATACTGTATTAAACCTCAAAATCCTGCCACAGTTGGTTTGTCAGGTGACCCTAACAACTTGCCTTCTTCAAGAGTACAAGTGCAGCTCTGACATCACAGTCACATACTTCAGATATATATATATATAAACATCCTGATGTACTCACCCCCAGTCAAATATAATGGAACAAGCCCTCTTCCTTATCCCCAAAAGCTAATTTATTAGGTGCGATTTTTTTGATAAACAATCACTTTGTCATGCAGCTGAATTGAGTTCAAAGTCGTTCTGCTCTTAGAACCACACTAAACAGGTGTCATTTCAAAGGTTTCATCATTTCTCCTCTTCAGATTTGTTCAGAAAGATAACTGCATGCTCCAGAATGTATCTTATTCCCAATTAACCATACACTCAACCACACGCTTCCTTTCCTCTTGGTGCTGCTTGGAAAAGGGCTTTTCCCCATGTACTGTAGCAATAGCCGAGAACTGCTATTGAGCTGAGGATGTTTGAATATCAACAGTTAAAAATAAAAGAACTTCTCACTCTGGAATCTAATTGCCCTTCTGGCCTGAAAAGCAGCACAAAAAAACCAAACTTGCTGTAATGAAAGTAACTGTTTTAAAGTTCGCTCACTCCCCACCCCCTCCCATCCCAGAAGATATCAGAAAGAAAATTGAAGGTAGTGGAGAGGAGGAGAAATATCAGAAAGAACTTTGCTTTCTCCCCACCGCCACCTTGTTAAATCATGTTGTTAGTGTGCCATATAGAATAAAATACCTTAAAATCATTGTATATACGCTTCTTCACTATACTCCAACTGAAATATTGGTTTTTGTGATGTAAGTATAAAAGCTCAAGGAATAGATTTAAATACATTTTTTATTACTAATCAAACTGTTATCCAGTTCAGGTAAATGGTAACTCCACTAACTTACAGAAAATAAATTGCTATCTTTCTCTAGATCCAAGAAACTCAGGTGCTTGCCCTCCAAAAAAAATAGTTCACCTTAAAAAAAAAACCTGATACTGATCGGATCTAGTAGTCTTTAGGCCTCCCAATATTGATGAAGTTCAATTTTAATGCTTATTTCATCCGAGAACGGTTTTCTTCCCTAATAAGACCAAAATACCTTCAGAGAGAGAAATAACAGAAGTCTTCATACTGTAGCCTATTTAAAAATAAAATGGATAGTAGCTCCCAAGCTTCTTTAACCTTTCCTCATTTGGGGGCCAGGGTATCAGTAGAGAGGCACATGCCACTCTGTGGGCTTCTCCACAGTCCAACACTGGCTCTGCTGATGATGATCAGTGTTAGTGCTACAAATGAGCTAGTATCATCAGGCTGACTATAGCTACAGTGGTCTGACGCCTCAGAAGCGCGGTGCAGCAACAACAGATGCAAGAGACCATGTACGCGTCTCAGCAACTGCCACACTGAGCTTTTGTTCCTGAACCATAATAGTTCCCCGTTCTGCAGCTTCATAACCCCCAACTAAACAACAGTCTGCGGTACTGAGTGCCTACAACCTTCAAACCAGAGAAAAATCAAGTGTATACCTGGTGGAGGGCCAGGAGGAAGGCCGGTGGGTGGGCCTGGGGGCCTCAGTGGAGGGGCCGGAGGTGGTCCTAGAGGAGGTGGCCCAGGCATAGGAGGTGCCTGTATCTGAGTTGGAGGAACAGGCTGTGGAGGAGGTTGCTGCTGTTGGGCCTGGGAGGTTGCGGTAGATGATCCAGTCTCTGCAAGAGTTTCCTCACTGTGTTGTTGTTGTTGTGACGTCTCCTCAGATTCTGAGTCCTCTTCCTCCTCCTCCTCTTCTTCTGAATATTCCTCCACTTCTCTCCCTTCCTCTGGGATTTCCTGACCTGAAAACAGTCATATTTATAAAATCAGCTCTCAGCTACTATCTTTTTTGAATACTACAAAGAAACTCAAGTACATAAAATAAGAAAAAAAAGAAAAGCTTTACTTTGAAGGAAAAATAAAATCAACCGTGTTTAACTACTACACAGCAAAAGCAAAAGCAGCACAGAGCTCTAGGGAGTGCTGCCACCTACAGCTATACTTCCCTGTGGAGGCTAAAACTACCACCAAACCTCAACTTGTGCTATGTAATACAGCAGCACAAAAAAAGAAGACAGAGCAACTTCCTATGACCACCTGAAGTATGGGGGAAAACAAATAGAACAGATTTGATTTAGCCTCTGAAATAAATATAATCGTCACATCTCCAAAAAACTCTAGTCCTTCTAAAAGATGGGGGCATCCTTCTGAAGAAGAGCACCTTGATTTTCATGGTTAGTTTCTTCTACAGATTTTAGACTGAGCATACAGACAACTCACATTTGCTTTTTTATTAAGAGGTTCATATTTCACTTGAGCAGCTGTTCAAGAAGATTAAGCAAAACAAAGTTTAGAAATTAAGCAACAAAATCCAAGTACATACGAAAATATGAAAGATTCTTCTGTAACTTCAACTCTGCTATGTGAAACTCTCATCCCCATGGTCTGATGCCTCAAAAGCACAGTGCAGCAGTGGTCTCATGTTACTAGACTACATGCCTGCCTGCCTGCCTGCCCACCAACCCCTCCTCAAAACACTAACCACAGCTTTCACACTGTAAGATGTGCTAAGAGCATATAAAATATCTCATAAAGTGAAAATGTTACAAACAAAGCAAGTTCACCGGAGGAACTTTTAACTGCAACTCAAATAGCATTCTCCACTTAGATATATCTGTATCACTCACCTGCCATTCGCAACATCATGGCCTGGAGTGGAGTCAGTTCTTTCATGTTCTTCTTCTTCTTCCGTGACTTCCCAGGCATGTCTGCAAATCGCACACTATGACCTGGGGAAAAGCAAGCATGGGGGGAGGGGGAGGAAGAAGAAAAAAGATAAATGGAAGTTTTCTACCTGGTGTGGATAATATTTCATTTTAAAGTAATGTTCCTATGTAAGTGTTAACAGTGGTATTACTGACTTTAAATTTTACTAACCTCCACCACTGGTAGAATTCTCTACTAATTGAATTCCCCCAGACAAATCAAGGAAAAAAAAAAAAAAGATATCCAAAAGCATTGGTAATGTGAAATTTAGTCACTTTAAAAGTATTATTCAAATCACTAAAGAGTTACAATGCTTTACACTGAGGCTTATTTTCTGTAGGGTCCTGTGCCAATTCAATGTTTTAGGCCAAACATGATTTGTGACCTTAATAGTCTAATTCAACTGTTAAGAAGGCAGCTCAACCTGAAAAGCATGAGGCACACTCAAGATACTTCACATCTGGATAGTTTCATACAGGGCCATTTATTAAGAAAAATATCTTCAAATTCTTCAAGTGAAATTTAGGAGAGCTAGAACAGATTTAATTTGCTACATACGTATGTGTGTGTGTGTGTGCCTACACACACGCACGTACATATGCACACACACTTTAAGTTAGGAACACAAACACAACCTATGTTAAATAATACTGCTCTTCTGACAAATCAAAATCCCATCCACAACTTCCCAACAGACCTGTTTTCTTCTCTTCGCCACCTTCCCGCTCCTTGTCATTATCACGATGCAGAAAATCCTCGGCTTCACTGTCTGCATCTGACCTATCGCTATCACTGTCATCACTGCTCTCATCGTGCTTGTCTTGATCCATATCCTCAGGATAGCCTTCATCTTCGCTGGTACTGGAGATATCATCATCATGCCCTCGCTGTCCTGCAGAAAGCGGCGTATTAGGAAATGCATAAATTCCAAATACACAGGCATGAAAGAGTATTTTACAAGTCAGCAGTTCGAAAACCTCCATATCAATAGAATGGACGCTTTGTCATTCCTCTATTCTTTAATACGTTATTAAGGAATATTCTGGAGATTCTGTTCATAAGCTTTCTGATTCCTCTAAACCTGCTGGTTAATTTGCATAGCAAACAGGTAAAGACAACTCCCATCCAGAACTCACTGGTTCATTTCTATTCAGCAATTTCTCCTCCTTTGAAATACTTTGATCTTTTCCGGTACAGAGGAAAGACGATCACTTCATTGACAAAAGCTTCTAGACATGATACAGTAACTGCATGAAAAAGGGGAGTCCAGGTTCTCCTAGCAAGTGCATACTCAGGTTTGTTTCAGTTTTCTTGAAAAAGGAAGAGACTTCTGAGAAAGTTAAAAAATGTGTTTTTATGAGCGTGTGCACACACGCACACACCCTGCAACGTTTCAGCCTTGTTAAGAGTGCAGCGGAAGATACCTAGCCTATGCAACATAACGAAGAAAACAAGTATCTGAAAGTTTTAATTAGTTTCAGCATTTGAAAAATACAGACGCTAACAAAACTGCAGATATTAAATTATGAAATATACCAAAATCACCTCACTGGCACAATCACTTAGGATGAAACCCTCCTCAGGTGGTATAAACACCCATATTTCCCAGAGAATACCTTGGCTAAGGCACACTTTGTTCACAGTAGAACTATCCGTAGCAAAAACGGAGAAGCCTAGGAAAAATCCAGACAAAGATAAGGAAGTCTTTACCTGCTTCAGAACTGTAAGAAATCTCCTCTTCTCGCCTTCGAGGAGCCATCTCCAAGGTGAAACCCACCTTACGCCCATACATCTGTAGGACCTGAGGTGGGGGTGGCCCTGGAGGAGGTCCAGGGGGCTTCCTCCCTGGAGGTAAACGTGGAACACCAAGCCCAGGAGGTGGAAGTACAGAAATGGCCCGAATTGGTGGTCTGGGAATAACAAAGGAAACAAACCCAGGAAAACACAGACATACACAAACATGAGATTAATAGAATTCTTTAGTGCTTCTTTCACCATTGCTTCTACAGAAACATTCTGTGCACAGATGTGAACATTAAGGAAAAAAAAAAAAAACAACACACTTTGCCTCAAGGAGTTTACAACCTCATACCAAACACAGTTGATGAAGATCAGACAAAAGAAAGCTTCTCAGAAGATAATTTAAGAGAAGACTGAAATAGACTGAATACTGAATCCCATCACAGAAGCTGCATGAAGACCTCAGAAAGTTAGTGAAAACAGAAGACTATTCTGAAAGAAATAGTCTAGAGTAAGAAACCACGCTAACAAGTAAAGTAGAAGCTTAAACTGAATACTAGCAAAACAGAAGAAAACATATAGAGTAACTTAAGGGAGCATTTAAGTTCAAGTAATGTGGCAGGGCTTTAAGCTGAGTGTACTGCTCAAATCAGCTTAAACAAAAAGTGTAATACTAGGCAAAGATTAAGAAGAGCTATGACCAAAAAAAAAAAAAAAGAAAGTACAATTCACTCTCTCGGAATTTCCACTTTCCAAATATTACCTCTACCAGTAACACCTAGCTCCCCCCAGTAATATAAGTGCTACTTTTCACTTTCCCTCCAAGCTTCTTTTTCCTCTTACCCATAGGCTGATGTCTTCTTGAGGATAGAAGGTGGTTGGGCCCCAGGAAGGGGAATGTCCTGTATGAGGATGTTGGAGGGTGCATGAGGCATGTCTGGTAAGGGGATACTTTCCACTTCAACGTGCTGAGCATTCTGGGGAGGTGAAGAGAGAGAAAGAGAGAGAGAGAGAGAGAGAAAGAGAGAGAGAATGGGTTAATCCCACAGAAGCTATACCAAGCAGCTTCTTTACACTATAGGATACAGAACACATGGGACCTGCTATCACTTGCCAAAGGTGCCTGTTCTGATAGCATCTTATCTTGCAGTAGTCCATGAAAGCCAAAGATATTTGGAGAAAATCAATAGGAAAAGCCTCCAGTGCAAGACATATCACATGCAGGACACCTGCAAAACCCAGCCAGGCTTCCATCCCCTTTTAGACCTTCAGCCCCCAAAGCAAAGATGCTGCAGTCAAGTATGCCTGTATCTCCTGATTATCCAGAAGGCATAAATCGCAGGCTGCTGCATGTTCCAAAGCAAAATCTTATAAATATTTGCACTTGGGCAACATTATGTTCTCCAATATGGTAGGGAGGAATTTCAAAGGAAGCTCTTTAAATGAATGCCAGAGGATTCTCATTACTTCCACCAACAGATGTAGCTGAAATTCACAGAGCAATCTACTGCATTTTCACAGATAAAGCTCCCTTCATTTGTAACTGCAACACCTGAAGAGGAGACAAAGTGTACACTACCGCAGTTACAAGCCTATAATAATAAGCAGCATTACCTTGACAGCATCAAAATACTGGCTGAGTTGTGATCTCTTCTGCTCATACTCCACTTCCAACTTGCGCAGCTCTTTATAGATGTCAGGATTCTCCTTTTCATAGAGCCGCAAGATACGCTCGAAAGTCTCACGTAGTTTTTTGCGTTTATCCTTTAACACTTTTTCATTAAGTTGTGGCTGCTGCACTGGGTTAAATTCTAATCCAAGACAACAACAAAAATGAAAAAAAAAATCAGAAGTTACTCTACAATTGTGATGAATGAAACAACTTTAAAGCAAATAACCTCTAATTCCTTTTTTCAGGAAATCTTCAGCCTTAAGACAACCCCTTCCTTCAACTCTAATCTGCCACACAACCTTCTCAGTCTTTATTGCAGCCATCTTCTCCAAAAATGTTGCCTTCAAAGACAACAGATCACTTGAAATCATGAACTCCTTAATCACTCATAGAGTCTCCCTCTCAAACTTTCTGATAGAAAAGAAATAAGGTTACTTTGGTTCTTTTAGTCTCTCAACTGTCCCTTAAAACTATTCTTCTGTGTCTACAAAAAAAACCCACTGCTTAAGTCCAACAGTCAGTACTACTCACTCACCCATCTCATCCAATTTTTCCATGTCCCGGATAATCTGCTTTGGATCTTTCATCTTTAGTACAGCTGCTCGTACCATCATCCGCTGCTTTTTGTTCTGAGAATAGCGAGATCAAGGAGATGAGAAAAACGTCACAGAAGAGACAGAACCTTTGTATCAGACTTCTCTCTCCACACTCCCAGCCTGAAGAAAAAGGCATTTCAAAATGCCTTGCTTTTGATTGTACTGTGGCTAGTATTTGCAAAGGTAATTAAAACTACTTGGAGTTTTAATTCCACTCTATTTATAAATGCTTCCATAATTCATTCACTCCAATTAAGATGCACATAATCAGCAAGTTAAACCAAAGGGGTACAATAAAACATACCAACAAATATGTAAGGTTTTTCTAATTTCTAAGAACTTACAATAATGCTTTGAAAAGTCTTAATCATCTCAAGTCTTGGTCATCTCAAGTTAAATAGTAGATTAAAGAGATACTGTTACTCAAAATCGAATTTCTATTTTCTTCAAGTATTTGTTTAAATAGTATTTTCCAAAGTGAATCTTGCACAATCAACTGAAACATCTGCAGTCTACTCATCGGTCATGGCCCATTACTATTACAAACATGATGCACAGTACAGGGGATGCCAAATAAATGTTCCTGTTTGCTTTACTTACCTTCTTTAGTTCCCTTTTCCGAGCTTCCTTGCCTAGAGAGGGAGAAAAAAGGAAAACAAAATAACAACTTGAAAGAGACAATTGCGTCCATGAAGAACCTCTCCCTCAACAGGATTACTGCCTTATTTCTCAACAGCTGACTCTTTACACAAAAACATAAATAAACATTTTTATCTCATCTTCCCATTGAGAAAGCAATAAGGCTAGAAATAAAATTTTATATATAGAAAGAAAAAGATTGGAAATCTCCATGCCTTGTCTGTTTCTATATAGAAAAGAACTACAGACAGCAAGTCATAATGATATTTCCAGTCACGAAAGCATTGCTGCCCAGAAGCCGCCTGTAACAACAGACAATGAATTGCGCTTTAAAACAAAATACGCTTTGAATACACATCTGAAATAAAGCATATTCACAATGGCAGTCTGGGTACTCCTATCTGCTTGGTGTTGATAACAAGCCAAACACATTACCAGAAGAAAAAAACAGCATTAGATGATTTCCTCATCCAGCCAGAGTATTTACAAAATTCAACACATTCCTCAGATTCTAGCTTCAGACAGATTAACCATGCCACAATAAATTTGCAGTTTAGCTGACAGCTAAGTAAAAAGACTTTAGAATATTTATAACTAAAGCAAAAGCTAAGAGGTAAATACAGCACAGCAGCAACAGCATGCAAGCAAGCAGCTTTCTTGGGAATTTTTTTTATACCAGCCAAAATGAAGAGAATATTTCTGAAATTTGAGGAAATCAGTTCATATTCACATATGAGGACTTTTCTTCTCAGATAAAGGTTTTTTTGTTCTGTTTTTAAATCTGTCACTCCAGGACCCCACATTCACATCCATTTAGCTTTTACAGATACTTACGGGCCTGATCTGTGGGATTCATGAACTTCCCACTCTTGGTGGATGATGTAGATCTCCGCCCCATTTTGACTTCTTTTCTTCTGTCTCCGAAAAAGAAAAAAAAAAAGAAAGAGAGAGAGACCTGGAAAAGATAACAGTTTAATATCCTATGCAGCAATAGCTTGAGAATTATTATTCCTCTTCTCCAAATCAGTAGGTTACTCCCCCAAATACTTGTCAGCTCTTCAAATCCCAGTGCAACTTCAGGCATTTATAACAGAATCATCCTATTTTTAATCAACAATCACACAGTTTGTTATTCACTTCAAGAGTCAAGTCAAGAAGCTTCTGGCTTATGTCATTTGGGGAAAGGGTGGAGGGGAAATCACACGTACTATGCTTTTCTAAGAGCACATCAGAGACCTCGTTTTTCATTTACTCCCACAAGAGCTCTCCAGTTTTTCCCCTTTCCAATCCTCTCCATTTCATATGCTTCCCGCAAATTTCCTCCTTTCCTCACTCCTAAGCTGTCCACGATTCCTCTCCTCAGTACACACTGTATCCAGCAACAAGTATTCTGCACACATTCACGTCTCTTTCTCCTCACTACAGACTACTGCCATGTTACTGCCCTTATGCTGTCTACCTCCATACATCCAGCAGTATCATTTTAAGCTATGTTAAGATGGGCAGAGAAAGGAAAAATTATTCTAGGAAGAGTTACTTTCTGTCCTCAAACAGTTTTTTAACTTACAGATGACTACAGGGATGTCATAGCTACAGCTGTGCATGCCCCCTTTCTCACAGTTCTAATCTGTATTTTCTTCCCCCTCAACGCAAAACACCACCACAAAAAAAATACACAGCAGGTTCCACCCCCAAAATTAAAACATCCTCTGAGAACTTTGAGTTGATAGGATGCAGCTTTGGAGTCACCATACTGCACCTAAACAGGCAGTGTCCAAACACAGTGAAAGACTTCACAAGTTCAGTCCAAAGCTCTCGATACCCTTGCTGCAGCTTGCGCTACACGTTCTTCTCCTCTCATTGCAAAAGCTGCCACTTTCAAATCACTACTGATTCATGTACCTCCTCTCATCTACTATAAAGAAATTTAAGCGTAAATCTTATTCAGGATTTCAGCACCTCACAGAATAGATTCCTAACAAGCTCCAAGGACTGACTGCACTCAGTGCACTGATTAGCAGAAGTGCACAGAACTCACGGTTCATACTACCAGACTATGCAAACAGGCCAATTGTGAGCAACAGCACCCCACAATCTGTAATCGCCAATAATACATATTTCCTACTTACAAAAAAAATTACATTGATAGATTTTTTTGTAAGACGTTGCCATTTCTTTCGCTAGGAATGCTTAGAAGATAGATGTAGAGTTGCACATGCACGCTGCACCTCCCAGATTTCTAATATTCATAGAGGAGAGGAACAGAGAGGATAATAAACTTCTTAAATTTAAGTCCTCGATCCCAACTCCTTTAGGGCACAAATCAAAGAGGTTCAACACAACAAGTCAAGAGAGCACAGAATAACCCGGGGATGGGGGAAAATTTATGTTGATTGATCGCTAGGGAAGAGAGGCAGAAAGTGTCCCATGAGGAACACGACAGTCTCCTTCCCCCTCCCCCAATCGGGGGGGG